AAAAAAAAAAAGTTAACAGCAAATATGACCTATAATACTCACATCAAGAAACTCCTTCAGCACGCTACTATTTAGACCCCTAAGCGAGGACTTTGAAGCCACAAATGTATTGGCAAAGGGATCAGAGTAACCAGTTGCATGTACAGCCTCTATAAGTAAGTTCTCAGGGTTTCGAGAGAAATCACTTATTTCATCCTTCAACTTATTGATCTGCAAGTGTGTAAAAATTGTAAACGCAACATCCAAAAAAGCAAATCTTGAGTATTTAATTCAAAGATGAGAAAATAAAAATAAAGACATGCTCCCTAACTTCCCAAGTCCATAAATGTTGGATTTGTGACGCAGTCAACAAGAATCTTTACCATTTCAGGAACATATTTTGCTAATGCGTCACAACTATAACTCATATGCTCCCGGGAGGCTGATGAACCTAAATGGCCATCGATTTTCTCAACTTCACGAACAATATCCAGGTGGCTTTTGTCAGTGGTACTTTTGAAGGCCATTCGCCCCAATAGATGTGTGACCCCCAATGAAGTCGAAGTTTCGTAGATTGAGCCACATTCAACATCATCCCCTACCTTTGATGTTTCGGATGCATCTGCATCCGAAACATCAAAGGTAGGGGATGATGTTGAATTCTCTCTTCTCCGTGTCTATGTGTGAGTGCGTGACAGATAAAGTATTACTAATATTCTTGTGGGAAATGTGGTAATTTAATTAGGGTAACCAGAACAATTCAACTTCAATTGGTATCATAGTTGATGAATGTAATTGGTATTGTAGTTGAATGTGGATTATGAAAAGTGGTTATCTTGGTGCTTGCAGTCTCAACATAGTTCTTGACATAGGGCAATGGTTCAGGATGTGGGATTACTTAACGGTGGACTTGAAGACCCCTTCTCACATGTCCTTGTTTTACTTGTCCTGATTGAAACAACACTTGTAGATACATATATCTAGCAAACCCAATGCAGCCTATGCAGCCCTGTAGGGTGGGGAAACTCTTTAAAATTTACCAGACAAAAAAGATAACAATTTTTTTATCATAACTTCCCTTTTACTGTAAAATATGGGAAAACCAAGATAAAACAAGAAAAAAAAAATCTCCCTGCATATTAATCCATAAGGGCACCCACATTGGGCGTTCATTTGCCCATGTTTAAACGCCAACTAGACGTTAACACCAATGTGGTTGTTCATTCTTTTAATGGGGCACATGCTTGTGTTCAATGGGTTGTGTTAAATATGGATATGATGGGCAAGGGATAACCGAGCTACCCGACTCGGGTCGATCTCGAAGGAAGGCTATTCGGAGCTTTGTCTACTAGATGATCGTCCAAATCACAAAAATCAAAAATAAAGTCCTAAACATACTAATCAATTTGGGTTGAAGTTGATTAACACAAATTACGACTATTGAAAGCAAGTAAATGAGCAACGAGCAAGTGAACGAACTATGAGATTCTAGCAACTAATCCGGTGAGCAAAATCAAGAACAACAAAAGCGAAAGTAAGAGAAACGAACTCCATTTAGCATGCTTAGAAGCCCAAACCGAAATCCTACTACGAAATAACCGAGCTAAATGTAAAGTCATGATTTTTCAAATAGCAATCAATCAATCAATCCACTCCAAGCATCATAAACGAGCTCAAGAAAGTAAAGGAAATGAAAACAACTAAAATAGCTACTAAAAGTCCGACAACCGAGCAAGCTTTAATTACTTCTACGCACGAGATAGCAAGTAAGTACGAAAATCGAGATCACAAGGCTTAAAATTAAGTACTCACATCCCTAACGCATGCTTGATCGAAGTCGGAAGAAAAAGATTAAAACTTGCATAAACGAGAAGTCACCGGAAAAAATCGCCGAAAAATG